ATAAAATCATTAAGTTAAATGATAATTTTGCAAGATGCTTTCGAATATATCTGTTAAACCACAGTCATTCTTTTGGAATTTTTATGTTTGCTTGAGGTTTTGGCGATTCACGGCGTTGATAAATAGTACTAATAATAAAACAACAATGAAAATATCATAAATAAAATAACTGATGAATTTTCCTATTAAAATTAATGAGGCCTTCTTAGCGGGTAATTATTTTTTGTAACGACTTAAATGAACGACTACTCACATGGATTCGCATGCTATTTAATTGAAGTCATAATTTAATTTCCATGAATTGCTGCATTACGATCATTCTAACGATATATTATTTATAAAATCATCCATGGGGAGATGAAACGAGTTAGACCGAGGATATTCAATGGAATTTTATGCATACAAGTATTTTAATATATGCTTTATGTGTAAATGTAATTGTATATGATGTGACCCTGTATATTTCGCGACATTGTGCAAAGAGAAATCGTCCAACCTTGGCTTCTGGTATCAACGAAAAGCAGGAAAAATCTCCAATAGCTTCAAACAACGCCCGTTGGGCTCATAGTGCTGGGGCTGAAATTGTGCAATCCAACAACGTTAGGGAAAATATACATTAAACACGTTTCTTATATGTGTCGAATATGTGAAACTGGTGACGATCATTTATGCCTCAAGAACTATTTTAGTATTGCAGTGTTTGATATGAGGTTTTCACACATATGGATTTAAGTGGAAGGTCTAATTTCATTTATTGTACACAAATTTTTACATATCAAAAATAACCAACTTGTCGCAGATGCGGTAAAAAATGCTTTTTGGAGAGATGAGATGGATTTCTTATATAGCCTTGCTATTTTCGAAGATGGGAACTACTTGCCTAAAAGTATTTATACTACAGGACCCCTAAATAATGTTCCACCATGGGATTATTTCTAACTATTTATAATGTATACTAATTCACTATGCAGGTGAATGTCTGCTGCTTGAAAATTGATGGCGATCAATTCGGATTTAAAATAAAAAGCTGTGATGCAAAAATATAACGGAAAGTATCATGTTGATATAAAATGACATAGGAAGCTTCGAGTTTCGAAACGGAAATAACAGATTCGCATCAAGACGGCTGGCCCAGTCCACATCATGCGTGTATAACATGACCTAATTGACAATCTAAATAAAAAAATAAATAAAAAAAGCTTACCATTGAATTGAAAACGTAAGAGTTGCTCCGACCAGAGATTCACCGGGCGTCGGCTGAGCGGCTGGCAGGACTTTATTCGGGCGAGGACCGAGGCAGGCAGGACTTGGTCTGGCATCGGTGTACCGGAAAACAAGACTTTGATCGGGCGTCGACCGAGGCACGACTTTGGTCGGGCGATGGCTGAGGCAGGCAGGACTTTGGTCGGGCGAGGGACGAGGCTGGCATAACTTTGGTCGGGCGTGGCCCGAGCGGCAGGAGGACTTAGGTCAGGCAAGACTTTGGTCGGGCGAGGGACGAGGCTGGCATAACTTAGGCCATGCACGACTTTGGTCGGGCGATGGCCGAGGCAGGCAGGACTTTGGTTGGGCGTCGAACGAGTGGCATCAGGTTTTTGGTCGGGCGTCGACCGAGCGGCAGGCTGGACTTAGGTCAGGCACGACTTTGGTCGGGCAACGACCGAGCGGCATCAGGACTTTTGTCGGGCGTCGATCGAGCGGCAGGCAGGACTTTGGTCAGGCAAGACTTTGGTCGGGCGATGGCCGAGGCAATCAGGACTTTGGTCGGGCGTCGACCGAGCGGCATCAGGACTTTGCTCGGGCGTCGACCGAGCGGCAGGCTGGACTTAGGTCAGGCACGACTGGCAGGACTTTATTCGGGCGAGGACCGAGGCAGGCAGGACTTAGGTCCGGCATCGGTGTACCGGAAAACAAGACTTTGATCGGGCGTCGACCGAGCGGCAGGCAGGACTTAGGTCAGGTAGGACTTTGGTCGGGCGATGGCCAGGCAAACAGGACTTTGGTCGGGCGCCGACTGAGCGGCAGGCAGGACTTAGGTCAGGCAGGACTTTGGTCGGGCGATGGCCGAGGCAGGCAGGACTTTGGTCAGGCGTCGGCCGAGCGGCAGGCATGACTGCATGGGTCGGGAGGGGGCCGAGCGAGCAGGCAGGACTTGGGTCGGGCGGGGGCCCAAGGACAGTTTCCACTGAGCTTGGATGAGCTTGCTGCTAATAAAATGCTCGTTTCGTGGCCATTTGACGGCCGCAAGTGCCCCGTTGAAGTGTTGTTATGTGTTGTTATGTCACTCAGTAGTCAGGGCCCACTTGCTACAGACAGTTAGCCCCCTGTTGCTTCCGAGCAGTCTCACAAATTAGCGCTGGCACGCTTGGTTAGGCTTGCCTCGCTCAACAGGATCAGAAAAGGAAATCTGATCTTTTTAATCGTACTTCTAATTTCAGCAGCGCGTAAGAAATCGAATGTAATGAATTGTTGACGTTTCGATTTGAACCTCTCATCCCGTTTTTTGAATATGAGTGAGAATGCATCATATATATTATTTGGGTTTTTCATTGCACTGTCGAGTGGTTGATGCCGATGTTTCATTTTCCTAACAAACTACACTGTACACTGGAAAAGATGTTCACTGGTAGAAGTTTCGTAGCACACTGACCCAATGCCTGGATCGAATATTGTTTCTAAAAACTTGTGGACACCCACATGTATGAATGAAAGGTTTACAATGGCCTACTTAACCGGTTTTTCCGGGGACCGGGTTAACTCTAGAACCGAAATTTTGAGATGTGGTTTTGAAAGTAGGTCATCTGAGATTATGTAGTAACATATTGAGTACCGTGTAGTGGAAGAAATATTGAAGCATGGCTTGTTTTTAGTTCAAAGCGCTCATTTTTGACGCTTCTTTTCATTACCTGTACATCAAAAAATTTTTAACATAATAAATGAAAAACAATAGCGGTGCAATTATTTTCTTTATTGTCTATTTACCCAACCCTTTTCCCTTGATGTCCACCCTTAAAGCGGAACGTGCGACTTTGAAAGTTTCTACTTAATACGTTAAAACAATGGGTTAATGAAACTAATTGCATTGGAATTTTCCGGCATTAGGAACAGGTTTAAATAGAGCCATGACTGGATAGTTGTATTACAAGTTTAATCGATTCTACGTTCCTTGGTGCGAGCTGAAATTTGTCATGGTATGACGAGCCGCGTCCAGATCAAGTAATAGTTCTCATGAGGACCATGTAGTGTTCATAGGATTATGAAAATCCACTTTTAAAACTCCCGCCAATTTTTATTGTCAATAATTAACATTAAGTTTTCGTGACAAATTTCAGTGTGTCATGCCATGGCAGGTGGCTCGGCCACTCGAAACCTATTGTATGCCATTAATTGCTCCTGTACCGTAACCTAAAATTATTGTTAGATTGGATTCGTTTGTATTATTTTGTACATTAAATTTTAAGCATAAAAATGGAGAGTGAACTGTGAGTATTAGACGCTGCAACAAATTCAGTTTTCACTAAATTTTTCAAATCGATGAAACAGGGCCCTTCAATATTGTCTACTGGCGAATTCATCACGGTCACCTGTCCAATTTCCTCGCTAAACTGCCTACTGCATTTCGTATAAAATTCGCAAGACAACATCAGCCTACAATGAAAAAAAATGCTGACATCGCGTTTCCTAAATTATTATTTTTTCTCTGGCGGTATTTATTTGGCACCTCAGCCCTCTCCCATTATCCTGCTCCCCTCGTAAGTTACCCTTGCAAAGCCTGCCTGGTCGCACCGATACAACCCTCTATTTATGAACGTCCATATTTCCCCTTTTCTGGCCTAGCGCTGCCGTTTGTTTTCTTTTGAGTCTTGGCACGCGCGCTCCGTAAATTCAAAACCTTTTACGCCGATGGATGAGAATTTGATTGCAAGAGTCATTTCCACCAGCAAGAAGATTTGAAATTAATGAATTATATGTTTTGTTAGCCTGTATAAAGATGGGCCACAAAGTTACAGTTTGAGGGTTTTGATTGAAAAATTAATTGTTCAAATAGAAATTTTTGTTTTAAGGAAAATTACTCCAGTAATATTTCGCATGGTTCATACAAAGCTTACCGGGCATGGGTTTCGTAAACAGCCCTTCATTTCCCCTCTAATTCCGCTCCCAAAACTGCCCTAAACCGCTCTCAAGTTGGAATACGATAGTTTTGCTTTTGTAATCTGTGATTTATTCAGAGGGCATAACTGTGAGAAATGTCCACAAAGTAGATTAGACGGGTAACGTTGAAACAGAAGAAAGAAATTTGAAAGTCTGCACGGTAATCTGCGCGCATAAATACAGACGAAGAGGATCTGTTACGCCATTAGACTCGAAATAATGGAGAATGCCAAGAATGCGCTCCCGCGAGAATTTCAAGTCAGATGCAGCTAGCATTAGAAATGTGCCTAAATTATAGGAATATCGGAAAGGGATAAATAATTGGGAGAGTCAATAGCGAGTCCATTTTGACGGTGTACTTGCGCTCGTTTCTCAAGCGAACTCGATCTGATATTGATTCAGGGATCTGAATAGCCGTTAAAGTGTACACTGAATGGTATTGATTCTCTATGATACATCGCCGGCTGTTGGAATACAAGCCATTTGGATTTTCTGTTAATGAATGTTGCATGCAATTTGCAATCATATTACTTTTTCTTCAATCACTAAACTGATTTAAATTAACTATTTCGGTATGGAATCATAAATCAATATAGAATTGAAAAAGTAAAAAAATTCGTGCAAAATGAATTTATGTGCCATATTTTGAATTTTTCGACGATGATCTTCAAATTTCAATTTCGCTGTTGAATTCGATCAATATTTCAAAAGAAAGTTAATTAAAATATTGAACACTCGAAAATTTTACTCTAACTTGCATTGAACTACCATAGTAATATCTTAATAGTGTGATATTAGATAGCGTATTTAATTCATATTCATTGCTAACATCATTTTTTTATTTACAGGCAATGAGCGCATCGTCCACGATGGACAACTTCCGGGCTCTTCTTCAGGTAAGGTTTAGATTTCAGGTTAAATTTAGGGTAAGATTAAGAGCCTTGGTAAGATAGTTCAGGTTAGATTTAGGGCAAGATTTAGACCCCTGGTAAGATATTTCAGGTTAGATTTAGGGTATGATTTAGACCCTTGGTAAGATATTTCAGGTTAAATTTAGGGTAAGATTTAGACCCCTGGTAAGATATTTCAGGTTAGGTTTAGGGTAAGATTTAGACCCTGGGTAAGATAGTTCAGGTTAGATTTAGAGTAAGATTTAGACCCCTGGTAAGATATTTCAGGTTAGATTTAGGGTAAGATTTAGACCTTTGGTAAGATATTTTAGGTTAAATTTAGGGTAAGATTTAGACCCTTTTTAAGATATTTCAGGTTAGATTTAGGGTAAGATTTGGACCCCTGGTAAGATATTTCAGGTTAAATTTAGGGTAAGATTTAGACCCTTGGTAAGATATTTCAGGTTAAATTTAGGGTAAGATTTAGACCCTTTTTAAGATATTTCAGGTTAGATTTAGGGTAAGATTTAGACCCCTGGTAAGATATTTCAGGTTAGATTTAGGTAAGATTTAGACCCCTGGTAATATATTTCAGTTAGATTCACAGTAAGATATATGTCCCTGGTAAGATATAAAGCTCTTTCTGCACTTTGATTATTAAAGCTCTTGCATTTATACACTTAAAGCGTGTAAAAATGTAATAAATTTCATAGTAGCAATTCGTGTACACGTGTGATGTTCTCCGATTATTATCTCAATTTATATACTTTACTCTGATACGGCAAAATGTCCACTTCTGTTTTGATGATGTATAGGTTAGTTAAGTAAGAATTTTGATGCGAGCGTCGGATGGTGGTGATGCGAGCGTCGGATGGTGGTGATGCGAGCGTCGGATGGTGGTGATGCGAACGTCGGATGGTGGTGAAGACGCTGTGTTGCTTATCTTTATATGTCGGTGATCCGCGTAGGTTTGATATGCTTAGCAAATAAAAATGATAAACAATAAATTATTTTGAGATGGAAGCGTAATTCAGAGAGTTGTATAACATTGTAATGGAATTTTCTATAAAATGAATTTGAATTTCAGAATTCATTAGAAGCTGCTCAAAAATTTAATAATTGTGACCTCTGATATAATTTCGTTAGAATGCTTATGCTACAAAAGTTTTCATATATAAACTATTTTTGATGAACAATTATTCAAATCAGTTGGTTCGTATTCAAAACATTCGAATGAATCCGGGAATAATTGTTAATAATCCGGGAATTGCATTTTTAGCGTATTTTCTCATTTATGGAAAATATGCCCAATTGTGCTCGTCATGTCCTTCCGTCCGTCCGTCCGTGACTTCACGTTTTCGTCGATTTTGAGAAAATGCGCTCTCTAGTCACTCACTGCAGTGAGTACTTAGTTATATTTTTTTATACTCATGCTCGCCATTTGAATTCCTGTGTTAGAACTTTATCATTCACCTCATCGGCTCGCCTCACATTTTTATCTCCCTTGAAATTCGCCTGAGTCACCGCGGTATCTTGGATGCTCAGTTTAATTGATTAAAGTTTTTCATGTGCACATTGCAAGTGGTGCAGGAAATTCATCTTGCTGTAGCACCTTGAATGCCAATTACTGTCGCTTGTGAGATTACGACAGAGTAAACAGAGAGAAAAAAATGGTAATTTATGTCTTTTGTTGGGTGGTCAACTTGAGACAAGATCGTCCAAGATTTTTTCCAATCATGTTCTATCTTCAGCCTCGGTTACGTTTCCGGGTGAATAATTGCAATTGTCCTGGATTGTATTGAATATGATTGTTTTATTATACTACATTTTCCTCTTGTTGGCGTGTTTTTTTTCAGGACATGCTGAGAAATTAGTCATATTGTCATATGACAATTAGTCATATGACGCAAATTAGTCATATTTAAAAATATTCATAAATCTGAATTTGAAACGCATATTTAAAAGCGTCTATGTAACATTCTCATTGCTCGATTGATTTTCTAGTCATAACTATTATTATATTCTTCCACGTAACAAATTGTTACGTCTGGAGCCTAAATAAAAGAACAAAGCGTGATAAAAAAAGACAAAAGTTTGCGTGCGATCGTAAAGTTCCAAAGTTGCGTGACTGCACTCCATTCCACACTCCATATTTCAGCCCCAAAGTCTGAATAACGAATAGAGTGCCGGACTGGCTAGCTCGCTCCAGCCATAGCTGATGGATCAGTCCTTGAACTACACCTTGCCACGAGTCGTATTCGCGAAATTCAGGTTTCGACGCACAGACGCCGTCGAATCATTCCATGCCAAAGGAACATTTTCTTCGACCGCTGCACTCCACTGGTTTAGCATTTCTCGACTGTTGCATCAACTCCAGTCACTGGAGACAGACGTCTTCCTAAAGCCGTCGCGAACTCTCACGCACCGTTATGGGGAAAAATGCGCTGCAGCAAAATAATTCGGAATGCAGCAATATTTCGGTGCTTCGATCACGGAACTGAGGTGGAACGAAGGCCTGAGCGACGGGGCTGGCTGCGTTCACTGATACTGACAGTGCGTAGATAATGAGGTAGTGCGTCTAAATTATGACGCATGATCTTCCAAGCGCGTAATCGAGAAAGCCTTGCTGCACATGCCTATGCAAAATTTACTTGAGTGTTGCAGAAAGTGACTCGAGTAGTCATGATTGTCTCTGAATTTATTCTAAAATCGATGCTGTGCAGTTAAAATTGTGAATCTAAAAAGAATTATTTTTCAACACCGAACAAAAGAGGCGATTAGTTACTAAAAAACGTTCTAAGTTTTTTTTAATAGTAGCGACACTCTCCAGAATGGGAAAGTTCATTCCCTAAAATTTAGTAGAATTTGTTTCTCCGCTTACGTAAAGCACGAGAATATTACGACCAACAATGCCCCGTTGATATTGTTTGTTTCACGGCATTGACTCTTTGTTTTCCAGTGGAATTCAAGTTTGGTGTGGAAACGGTGAAATATAACCTGAGCCCATGCCATTTTTCAGGTTGACTCCATCAGTGCTAGTCTAGGCTCATTTATAGCGAGGTGGTCAAGCTCACGCAGCTTAGCATGTCCATGTCAGCTAAATCAGGTCACCGCATGTCCAGCATCCGACCTCGCTTCCTACGTATATATGATGGCTTGGGGACTGTCCTACAGACCAGAAATAGACTGTCGTGTCCACACCATGGGCCGGTTCTGAAAGACACGTCCCTTAATTTGTAGATGTCATCAAGCTCTTCAAAATTTAAAGATTGGTGATTAAACTTATGCATTTACTCTTCAAAATGTGCAAGTTTGGAATGATTGTCTGGGGTCACGAAAAGGTAAGGATTCGGCGACAGGCCACATCAGGCCTACACTTGAGCGCCGAGATCACATATGTTATGTTATGTTATGTTAATTCCCCAGTAGATACTCTTCATAACGAATAACTTTATTATGACATTGTACCACCCTCTTAAAATATATAACTTCGGGATAAATTTCATGAATCTCTTCCTCTAAATGTGGCATTTATTCATGTAGTATTTGCTATTGAAATAACAAAATATGATACATTTGCTGATACACTGATACACGCGTTGAGGGCTCACTAATTTGAACCGGGCCTTTTAATCGATGATGCGCTGGCTGAATATTTCGATGGACCAGTTCTGGGGTTTGGCGAATCAAAGTCTACTCAGTAGCCATTTAAAAATGCAATCAATGCAGTCTATTTTTAAGAATTTTGTTTTTTAAATAGCTTATTGCTGGAATATGTTAAATTATGTTATGACTTGAGAAGTTAGTTACTAGACTTGCCGCTTCTCTATGGCCATATGAGGGCGATTTTATCATAAGCACGAAAAATCTTCTTTTGACAAGTGTTTGCAAATGGTTCATAACCGTAAAATTGGAACTAATTAAAAAAATGTGTATACTATTATGATTGTTCAATTGCCATTCTGTATATTACCTTGATAAAGCTTCGAAATTACATGACTTTTCCATCTCAAGCATGGCAGTAAGCAAATTATATCGTTATGATTAAAATAATGGAATTCCTGGCTTGCATGCTTTGTGTGATATACAAGAAAGTGCGTCTGACAGATCCTCTCTGGTTTGCCGTGGCGTTCCTTCTAAAACATTTGGCCATGACGTCTCTAACGGCTTTTGGCGCTTTGTCTGAAAACTTGCGACTAGGTAACGGTTTTTTCTTGGTCAAGGGGCCCCTAAGGAAATCAGTAAAACTTGCGACTAGGTAACGTTTTTCTCTCTTGGTCGCTGGTCTTTCGAGGAAGTTAGTAGAGCTTGCGACTAGGCAACGTTTTTCTTCTCATGGTCGCTGGTCTTTCGAGGAAATTAGTAAAAATTGCGACTAGGTAACGTTCTATCTTTCTTGGTCGCTGGTCTACCAAGGAAATTAGTAAAACTTGAGACTAGGTAAGGTTCTATCTCTCTTGGGCGCTGGTCTATCAAGAGAAATAGTAAAACTTGCTACTAGGTAACGTGTTTTCGCTCGTGGTCAAAGGCCCCTTAAAGAAATTGGTACAGCTTGCGACTAGGTAACGTTCTATCTCTCTTGGTCGCTGGTCTTTCGAGGAAATTAGTAAAATTTACGACTAGGTAGCGTTCCATCTTTCTTGGTCGCTGGCTTAACGAGGAAATTTGTAAAAATTGAGACTAGGTAACGTGTTAATTTTTTCTTTTGGTCGCTGGCTCACTGAGGAAATTATGTTAGTGGAGCTTACTGCCCTACAATGGCATTTTTCCTGCCTTGTCTACATTGAGTGCACGCGTGCGATAGATGCATTTTATGCCGTTCAGGTAGAATGTTCTCAACAAAATTTTCTTTTATTCGACTGGCTGACATATCAATTTATTAAACCTCATTTATTTTGTATTAAATAATTTATTTCGCGTTAAATCGCGTAATAATAACTTATAAAGTGCAAAATTTTGTTCGAGTGGCAGGGATAATTTTTCTGCATGTATTTAGTAAGAAAATA